TGGGCGCTGTCTCTTCAAAACGAAAACCCAAGAACACAGGATGGTTGGGAGCCAGAACCCCATCCTTTGGATCTGGGAAAAATCTAAGACTGCCGCCGTCGCTTCTTTGAGCCAAGTCTGTCCAATCTCCATCGTGCACTAAAAATGCGAGTCGGCAGTTCCTACTCCAAAACCATATACGACCGGCTCGGAATCCAGGCACGGCGGCGCTCGCCCGTCCCGGAGAAGAAGCAGAGCAGGAAAACAGAAATCCGATTGACAACTAGATTTGCACGACTGTGTTTCAACAGTGGGCGGCCGCATGCAGTGGGGGGTGGGGAACAGGAGGACGAGGGAAGGCACACCTCCGGGCCCCCGCCTCGTCAGGACTGAAGCGTGACGGGCGAACTGGGCGTCTAGCTGATGCTGTGGGCTGTCCTCTGTCTGACCTGCCCGTCCTCGATCTCGAGAACCCGGTGGGCTTTCTCCAGGTAGACAGGCTTCTCCATAGACACTACGCACGTGCGCGGCCGTCGGATATGCACCTGGCCAGGCGGAGAGCACATGCCACGCTCGTCCACGTAGCGTCGGAGCACGTCCATCAGGCGGCCCCCGTCGTTCCAGGCGGCATGGGCCACAGGCGTGTGAACTACCAAGACCTCTGGGTGTGCGAGTAGAGCGCAGGCTAACTGCAGCCTGTAGCTGGAATCTTTGGAGATGTCACTTGTGTCTGAAAGCTTTCCGATCCCCTTGATGGACGGATTGGTTCTCGATCTCACCTCACGTTCGATTGTGTTGACCAGGTTCTTGTGAAGCTCTAGCTCCTTGCAGATATCCAATCCTTTCGCGATCGTGTGGTCGTCCAAATCTTCGACCCGAGTCACACCGTGGGCGGCCATCCATCCAAAATACAGGGTGTCGGACAAAGGCCTGTCCCAGAGATGTTGCTCATACCTCAGGTGCAGCACGCGCAGATGCGGTGGTACGTTGATGCTGCCTGCGGTTGGAAGGAGCAACCCAGCCAATATCTGGAGGAGGGTGTTCTTGCCTGAACTGCGCGGCCCAAGGATAGCAACGAGCTCTCCCTGATTGATTGCCAATGTCAAGCTGCGGAAGATGGGCAAGGTCCCCCCTTGGTAAGCGAATGTGATGCTTTCCACGCGGAGAGGAATCCTGTCTTCGGGTATCTCTCCTGGGGCTTGCAGCCGCTCCAGATCGACGCGCTCACCAAACCAACGCCTCACTTCTGAGAGCTTGTCTCTGCGCTCCCATAAGTCGTTGGGCAAGTTCAAGTACCTGACGCACCTCCACAGGTATGGAAAGCAAGCCTGCATTGTAACCATGGTGTGGTAAGCGCCCTGGAACTCCTGCGCTGCACTTTTTAGGCCAGCCAAAACGGCAGCGAAGGTGCCAATTTTAATACCACCGTTGATCACTACTGCACTCAGTCCAAAGATGGCGCAGAACTCAACCAACTTCATCAACCATCCAAAGAAGGCCCCGTCGTTCGCCTTCCTTCGGCTCTCGTCTGCCACCTTCTTGTTAAAGTCACCCGTCAATCTCACGATTTGTCCTAACACTACCGGCCGGCTCCAATAGTCTGCAATCGTGCGATAATGCAACACGCACTCACCCGAAAATTGTCTCAAACGAACCGAGGCGACGACTACGTCGTGGCGCATGTCATTGGCACCACGCAGTCGCAATGCAAGATAACAACAAATGACTGGCGGCAAGATGAAAAATGGTACGATACTGACGAAAAGTTCCCTTCTCCCCGTGTTGAAATCTGCCGACCCCCTTGCAGGGCCATCAGGCTGCACGGACGCGGTTTCCTGCAACCTGCTCCAGTTCCAGTTTCCAGCCGTCAACGTTATAGACGGTCTACAGTAGGAAGCAGAAAATAAAACTAGAACTTATAGGTTTGCCTTCTTCTCCCTGCTGTAAACTGTTACTGTCCGCGCGAGGGGGGAACGGAAAACCGCCCTGTCACCACGTCCGAGCTGCGCGCTCTAGACTCATGGTGGCCCTGGGACACGTGAAAAGACGTGAGGTCCGCGCCCCCGAAGCAATAATCCCCTGAATACGTTACGCCAGCTTCGCACCCCCGAGGACAGCATCCATCCCACCCATTGGCCAGACTCGCGCTTCCGAAGCCCGAACCCTTGGCGAAGGACTCCCAGCTCGCGCTCCCAAGGCCAGAATCCCTCGCACATGACTAGGGGAACAAAAAGTGGCATAAACATCAAAACTCGGAGGTCCGCGCGGATTTCTCGGATCGGCGCTGGCGCCCCCCGGCGGCGCCTCCAGCGCCGCCCCTAGCGCGCTCCGCGCGCCAGGGAGGGGGGTCCAGCGCCGATCCGAGAAATCCGCGCGGACCTCCGAGTGTTTATGTTTATGCCACTTCTTGTTCCCCTAGTGACGCGTGATCCGCGCTCCCGATGCCAGAAGCCCTTGCAGTTACCTCAGGCTCGCCCTCCGAGGCCAGAATTCCCCCGGTAAACTGCACCAAGAGTTCGCGCCACCGAGGCCAGAGAATTCCTCGTACCTGTCGCGTGCGTTTCGCGCTCCCGCAGGTCCGAATATCCTGTGCAAAGTCCGCCAAAGTTCGCGCTCCCGAGGAGAACACGCCCCCAAAAAAGCAACAAGGTGCTCCATGTCGCCCCAGCATCTCGATCTGTTTTTTGCTGGTTTCTGCCCGTCCCCACATCATGTCGTCGGGTGTTTCCGAGACGGCGCCCGAACACCCCGACGCGGCTCCGATGTTGTTCGTTGTGATGGAGACGGGGCCGGCGGCAGAGAGCGAAGCCCTAACCGATAGCTCGTGAAAGCCGTAGAAGTCATAAATAATGCCAGGAGAACGACTTTGCCAATGGCAGTTATTAGTGTGAACACTTGCATGTAGCCGTCATTCACTAGCGTCGTGACCTCAGTATTGAAAACAGCAATCCATTCGTAAGTATTCAGTTTGTGACGGCTTTTTTCCTCAAAGTACAAAAACTTTGACATCAACCCCTCGAGCAACACCTTTCGAGCGCCGCCTCCAACGCCCCACCCTGAGCTCTGATACGCGATTAGGTGGGTAAGCCCGAAGGGAAGCACAAGACAGAGCGCGAGCACGGTCACGTACACCAAACTGGGAGGATTATCGTCATGGTCCAGAGCGTTCACGATTACCCTCATGATCCAGAGTCCATAAACGAATATCAGGTTGTTGACCTGGCCTGCGACGACCATCTTGATAGACCCAGAAGTTGTCTGCTTGAAGACAAACTTGCAAAACTCCACGAACATACTGAAATCTTGGCCCTCTTTCCAAGACTCAGCACTGTAGTCTTCCTTGAGGTCCTTGGCGAACTTGTTTGTGGGAAAGGTATCATTGTCCAGCAGCTTAACGCGGACCCGTTTCAGGTAGGCTCCGAGAACGCAGCCTTGTGGGTTCGAAAGCCTAATGCTTACCTCCACTGTCGAGCCCTGGTACACATCATCCTCGAAGAATCGCAGACTGATCGTCTTCGTCCTCTCTCCCGGCTTGAAGTGCACGGTGCCTTTCAAGGCTTCGCATTTGTGCCCCCACCTCTCTGAGTCCTCGGTCTCGTAGTCGACAGAGCAGGCTGAATGCCATCCGCCCAAGCGCATGATATGTACCAGGAGTAACTCGCCCTCCTCAGCGTACATCACCGCACTGTCGAACTGCACAGTGCTCCTGGTCTGCACCTCCTGAGCACTGCTGTCGGAGCTTGCAACATGCGTGTGCGTGATGGGCAGGGACTGCGCGACGGGTCGTGAAGCGATCTCGTACAAAGCGTGCCGGAGTGTCGGGCTGAGTAGAGTGGCGGGCTCGGTAGGCGCCACAGAGTCAGGATTCTCGTTGCATAACTCGCGGGCCGCGTCCATGGCCCCGGCAAGAACCGCCTTCTCCAACCGTGCCAGACGCTGGCACGTGTCGACGTAGAGAACCTCAAAGTTCTCGCAAGCATGACGCAGCTTCCCAATGTCCTCATAAGGGGACTCCTCTTGCGGACTCGCAGCGTGGCCGTCCGAAGAATCCGCATTATTCAGGAAAGGCTGCTGGCTGCCGTCACTAGAGGCTGCAGCCTCGCCGCCGCTGCCATGCCGCCGTCCCTGCGACAGGAACTGGAACATCGTGAAAGATCCCACTTGCAAGACCAAGATAGTTACTTGCCTTGTGAGGCGAGGACTTGCTTGGGCCTTGAGCCAAAATGTGGTCGTCGTCGTGTTCGCCTTTGTCGGAGGAGAGCGGGAGGAATATGGAGAAGACGAATGAGAAGAAGATCAGCCACCATGCCCTCGGGCAGGGGTTGGAGTATCCTCAGGTCCCTTCCTCGATCCCCTGAGCCTCAGTCCTCACTCTTGAAGAGTCTTGAAGGGGCCCGGACCAAGTCTCCTCAGGCTTGACGCGGTTCCCCTGGGCTCCCCCGAGTGGTGGCGCATGACTTTTTCGGGGACAGGGGGGCCCAAGACGGGCCAAGAGACCTCCAAGAGCCCGCTCAGACGGTCCAAGGGTGCTCCGAATCGCTACACGGTCGGTCCAAGACGCTCTAGGTGGCTCCAAGATGGCCCAAGAAGCCTTCGAGACGCCTCATAGAGCTCCGAGATCTTTCCCAAGAGGGCCGCCCAGAGAGGCCAGAACCATTGAATTCCTGTGGCGTTTTTCAACGTTGTGGGGTTCTCGGCTTTTCGAGCTTCCCACACTCCAAGGCGAAGCCCAAGAGGCGCCCAAGACGGCCTAAGAGAGCCCCAAGCCCGCTCCGAGAGGGTCTCAAAACTGGGATCCGGTCCCGAAGCGACAATTCGAGCGTTCCGTCCCAAGATGCCCCCGAGAGGTCCCAAGAGGCCCACAAGAGACCCCAAGAGCCCCCAGGAGGCCTCTTGGGCCCCCAAGAAGCGTCAAAACTGCCTCCACGAGTCCACCGAGAGGCCTCCCGCGGCATCCCAACGAATATTTTAGGTCTATGGCACACGACCCAGGCACGGTGGCGGGATGGGCCGAAGGTCATCAGATGATTAGAGGAAGTCCAAAGTACAACAACAAAATAAACAAGCAAGCAAACAAACAAACAAATAAGCAAGCAAGCAAGCAAGCCAGCAAACAAGCAGACAGACAGACAGACAGGCAGACACACAAGCAAAAAAGCAAACAAGCAAGCAAGCAAGTAAACAAACAAATAAACAACAGACGTGTGCACCGCTACGGCGAGAGCCAGAAGTTTACAACTACACCACCTCCATCTGCGCAACTGCTGGAAACGCACAGGCCGCCCTGCCGACACGTCTGGAAGCTCTCCAAGAGACCCCAGGAGGCCTCCTAGTGGGCTCCGGTTTTCGACCTGGGCAGGTTGGAGAGACGGGCCGAAGGCCAAAAAACCCGCCGCCCCCTCTTCAATTATCGAAGGGATGCCTGGCGCGCCGAATCGCCGGGATCTTCGGACCCTCTCCAGAGGCTCCCTAAAGACACGTCGGCCCATGCGGCCACTAACCGCCAGGGATGGCACAAAAGATGTCGTTCGGTGGCACTTCGGACCAAGATTGCCTCCAAGATGCCTCCAAGCCCGCCCAAAACCTACAAGGCAGCCTGAAGATCCTGCTAGGACGGCCGAAATTGCCCAGACAGCACGGTCGAGACTTCCCAAGAAGATGACCATCTTCACAACTCAAGACACCCCCAAGACAGCCGAAGAGGGCTCCAAGATGGTCCAAAGTGGCCCCAAGACGGCCCAAGGAGCCCCCAAGACGCTCTGGGAGAACCTCAAGACGCCCCGAGGAGGCGCCAAAGATGCACAGATCATCAAGAAACATTAGGTATTGAGTCTTAGCTAGTTGTGCAAACTAATGTTTCGAGCTTCAGAACGCCCAGGGCGGCCCAAAAAGACCCCAGGATCGCCCCAGACAGAGCCAAACGGGCCCCAAGAGAGCCCCACGGCCCAAGACGAGCCCAAGACGGTCGCAGAGGGCCCCGAGACGGCCCAAGAGGATCGTAAGAGGACTCCCAACCGGCCCCAAAACGCCGTAGTTAGAAGATTGTGCGTAGCATGCAGACTTCACCTCTGGAGGGATCCGTGGTTGTGAAGTGAATCCGCGCGCGGCATCGGACGCACTCTAACAGCACGAACGGCAGAAAAAGCGGCAAGGGGGAGGGTCGCTGTGGTCGTGGTTCGGCGGCGAACCCAGAGGGGAAGTGAGAAGGGGCGGGCCGTCTCAGAAGGCTCAGAAGTCCCCGAGCCTTCTGAGAAGTGTAATGAGCCTTCCCCGAAGACACAGAACACATCTCAGACGGCGCCAGGGCTTCTGAGGAGTCCCGCCGCCCTCTGAGAAGGCCTTCTCCTTCTCACTTTCCCCCCTCGCTTTCCGCCGAGTAGTATCAGCTCGGGCATGCTCCCCTGCAGGCAGATTCTGGAGAACAAATTAGAAAGTAGTCCCAAAAAACATTCAACAAAAAAAAGTCTGAGAATAATCGACACAAATCGTCCTCATGCTGCTTTTACTATTTCTGGGCATTCCTCCTGTAGAGGGACGTGCCCGACATCGGTGAGCAGTGGCGGCGGCTGTGGCGGCGGCGGCAGCAGCGCAGAGCGGCGCAGGTCTTCTGCACGCCTGCGCCGCCCCCGGCGGGGCCCCGGCCCTGGGCCTTAGGTCGGGCACGTCCTCCTACCGGCGGATTCTGGACGAAAAAGGAAACACAGTCTCAGCTCGGGCACGTCCCCCTACAGGCGGGTTTTGGCGGAAAACTGAAAAATGCTCCAAACCAAAAAATCAAAAATTGTCAAAAATTGTCAAAGAATCGTCCCCTGACTGTTTATTTACTATTTTGGGATACTCCTCCTGTACAGGGACACGCCCGACTCGAACGCAGTCCAAAAAACTGCCCAAGAATAGCCAAAGATCGTAGAACGATCGCCCTCAGACTATGTTTTGACTACTCTTGCATACCCCTCCCGCAGAGGGATCTGCCCAGCTGCAGCCCTGGCCCAGGAGCGACGCCGCTCGTATGGCCCAGCATAGGCCTACCTACCAGACCACCCCAACCCAACCCGAAGACCCGAATTTCGGGTTGGGGGGGGTAAGGGTTCCACATGTGCTTTTTCGATGTTTCCCGACCCCCCCCCACTGGAAATCGAGGGCAAATCTGAGCCGTCGGGTTGGGCTGGGGTGGTTTGGTGGGTGGCGAGCATGGGCCCGGCCCGGGCGGCGGAGGCGTGCCGACCCGGAGATCGCACGCGGCCCCCCACAGCATGCGGCAGCGCGAACGATCACGACCCCAGACCTCCTCGCGCTGTGGAAAATGAAGGGACCCTGGGACACACAAATAAATACACACAAATAACAGGATTCCCCATATTTTCGCATATTTTCTGAGTTTTTGTCTCCCCCCCCACTTCACATATTTTTCCATATTTTCAAGGAAATCGAGGATTAACTGTGTCTGTGTGTTTTTTCCCTCCTGTGAAAATGGCACGACGGGAGATTTTTCGTCATTTTCGGCCCCTGGGGGCTCTTACC